TGTAATATTTTGTTTGAAGTATGTGATCTAGTCTTTAGAATGATAAAAGGAAAGGGACAATCTTTTAGACCAAATACTTGATGTTCACATCATTACAAAGATGTTCACAACATTACAAAGCTTCTAAGAACATTAACCATGTCTTAAGCATTACAACAAGTACTTCATAGCTTAAGAAAATTCTTAATGATGTCTTCTTCTGTTTTTTTTAGCCAAATCACTTTGAAGTTTAGTAATTTTCTTCTCGAATTCTGCAATAGTGTTCTTCACAAGAATTTCGTTTCTAGATTCAGTCAAAGCTTGTTTTTGCACCCAAAACCCTCTTCCTCGTCAAACCATCGAAAAAATAGTATGCACCTCCCTGTTTTCGAAATCTCCAATTTTTTTTTGTTTGGAACCCTAATGAAATCGATTTGGGAGAAAAGGTCAGTTTAATGTTTGGTTAGGGTCGGATATTGTAAATCGGAGTTTAACTTTAATAAATTACGCTCTGACCCCAATTATTTAAGCTAAAATCAATTAGACCTTGTTGTGATGTTGGCACCATGTTTACATTAACATCGTATATGTGGCATGTATATATTATCATATACATTGTGTAGCTGTTGACACATTCTTATACTTTGGATGATTTTCACCATATTAGACTATACATCGTGTAGCTGACAAACTTTTTTCCAACAAAAGAAATCAGTGAGGAACGAGTTGCCTAATTTATAAATATAGTTTTGATGGAATAGTGTTGAAAGATCGATTAGTCTAGTGGCGAAATGAAAAGTATGGAAGTTTAGGGCGTGAGGATGTAGGTTTTTAAAATCTTAATTAATTTACGACGTAGTTTAACAGGTTTTTTTAATTTTAATTAACTACTTCAATTGGTAAATCCACGAAATAAAACGTTAATTAATGTTTTGTCATTCATTGTTATTGTTTTGTTTTTTTTTTGGTGCAGATGTTTTATTATTGTTTTGTTACTTTCATGTATACATAAACAGATGACATTTGTTTTGAGAAAACATAAACACATGACATTCCATCATCTTATTGACAACATTACGCTTTTCTATGGTTTTCCTTCTTTTTTCTGTGCAATTATATAAATTTGTTTAAACGATTTTATCATTCTGTTCGATAAGTTTAAACTTTAACCAATCACAGGATCTTATTATTACGCAATAGCAAGAATTACAGCCGCTACTTCTTTAATATTTACCGTAGGCTGGACCGTAACACTCATAAGATTACAGCTTCCTCGTCTGAGTCGATAGAAAGACATTAAGCAATCGTGTGATTACTGATTGTGATTTGTCATTTTCGAAAGGTGGTTATGATTTGTAAAGGTAATTGTATTTGAAACAAAAGTAATAGAGAGAGCCTGTATACAAGTTTGGCTTTTAAAAAAAAGGTTCGGCTTTTCGGGCATATAAAAGACATGAGAAGTGTCCAGCGACAATGATGTGAGGTTTGAATATCAAACACATCTATCAAACTTTGTTCATGGCTCAAACTATTTCCTAAACTTAACCAAAATATATATGTCTCCTTGACATGTAAAACTCAACCGGAAATCAGACTTTATTTTGCCTAAACTATATATGAAACTTTCATCACATTAGAGAATAAATGATAAAAGATATAAACCTTATGAAAATTGACATGAAAGACATCTGTGCCTGAAAATTCTATTCTTACTATGATTATTTCAATAATTAATCAAATATATATGTGTTGATTCGGAATGTATGGTAAGATCTGGCTTTGTACGTACGTACCAAATCTAAATAAAGAGATAAGGGAAGAAAGTTGAGGGAGAGCTTTTGGGCTTATCCACCCTGCTCTTGCATCTGTCCCTTTTAGCATATACATGCTTGATGAAGGAGTTTCGAACTCCGGGAAAGTGTTTTAGTCCATTCGCATGCCTCGTCTACCAGTACTTGACCACAGGTCCACAACCATGCGAAGTAACTAGCAAACTATGATCATAGGCCAAACTAGTTCCATAGTTAATCAAGTATATGTCTCCTTGACATATATTAGTAAAACTCAACCGGATGGTCATAGGCTAAACTATTCCATACTTAAACTTGTTTATTTTGGCTAAAGTATACAGCAAACTTCCATCCTACTAAAGAATAGAACTAGCTAGGTTATTACATATACGCTCGGTCGTGAGGTTTTCTCCGATTCTGGTGAAGCATAAACTAAACCGGTAAACTTAGCCTATTGGATTGTGAAAGAGGGTCGATTTAGGTGATTAGAAACGTGTTATTTTGTCAAAGTATTTGCGGTAAACCAAACTTGTAGCCAGGTAGCAATTTTGATCAATAAAATTTGAGTTTTAAGGAATATAACAATAAGAAAAATACTATACTTAAATAGTATAACTATAAACTGAATTCATTTACATATATAATTTAGAATCCTGGAAAACCTCTGTGCGAGAAAATTCTGTTATATGAATTTTATGTGTTAATTCGAAATATATGATAAGATCTGGCTCTGAATATGTACCGTACGTCCCACATCTAACGAGATAGGGAAGAAATATTGAAGAAGAGTTATTGGGCTTATCACCCAGAAAAGATGATAAGTAACAGCACAGCAACTGTCCACTTGTTCTTGATTCTTTTTTTTTGGTTCAAAACCACTTGTTCTTGCCTCTGTCCCTTTTTTCCATGTACAGGTAGAGATGGCAATCAAAGACCTGGACCGCGGGCCTGGCCTGTAAAGGTCTGCTGCGGGGCGGGATTGGGCCTTCATTTGATAAGCCCGCAAAATTGCGGGCCTCGCGGGACAGGCTCAAAATGGGACGGGTCGAATGCGGGACGGGCTCAAAACGAGACGAGCCGAATACGGGACAGGTTAACCCGCAGGATTTTGAAGACCCACAAACATAAATCCCTATTTTTGTTTGGTTTTTTTTTAGTATTATAAATTGCCTTATTACTATGTGGAATTTTCTTGTTTAAGTTGATGAGTTTTGTTTTCAGTATTGCCAAGTAGTGTTTAAAAAAAAAAATTAAATTTTGTTACAATGATGTTGTTAAAGAGTTTATTGCTTGTTGAAGAGCTAATGTTTGTTCTTTAAACGGCTCGAAATGAGAGTTTGGGTTACTGCAGAATCTTATCTTTACACTCTAAGCTCAACAGCTTTGGTTGAAAGAGAAGAAGAAACCATTAGTATTAAGTTATTGTTGCTAAGAAGAGACGTTGCTTTACAAAGAATCAAACAAGGAATATTCTTGAAAGAGTTAAATTTTACTGTCCAAATGGCTCTCAGTTACTTCAAGACCATTAAACCAGCGAGTGATCACATTAGATGTTGTTGCGATCGATGTTGTTCAGCTCTCTTCTCTTCAACTTCTTTACACAACTCTTCTACTTTAATATTCATGATGGAAGCTGAAGAAGACGTCCCGCGGGACAGCCCGCGAAGGTTTATAAATTATGCGGTATGGGATTGGGTAGCCATTCGGAAGACCGCAGCCCGCGCGGGATAGGCCTGCCATGACCCGCTCGATGATAAGCCCGCTGCGGTACGGGACGGGATGGGACGGGAAAGCCTAATTGCCATCTCTATGTACAGGCGATTTCAGAATATATTATTATTATTTGTAGAAATTTATCAAATTTGTACAACTTGCTCCAGCATGATATCTATTTATAAACTATGATCTTACCTCAATCATTGATATCAATTTAGAAAAGAAAAACAAATCTTACCTAGTTGATACAAATACGGAAAGTTTCCATATGTACATTTAATTTAGACATTGAAATGTGTGGGCAGATTTGGATACCTACTAAAAGTATAAACAATACATTTACAGACTGTTAGGTATGGACTATACTATAACTAAATAAAAATAAATAAATAAATAAATAAATAAATAAATAAATAAAAGAGTTGAAACTGTTTGAAGAAGAATAAAAAAATACTTGAAAATGTATCAAATAGAGCAAAGATTGTAAAGAGATACTCGGATGTTTTCATTTTGCAAATCTCATATGGGTAGTTCTGGATATATATATATATATATAGACAGTTCGGTATGGGCTATTATATCACTAAAATTTAAAAAAATAAATAAAAGAGTTGAAAGTTGAAACTATTTGAAGATGAATAAATAACACTTGAAGATGTATCAACTATGGATCAATGATTGTAAATACTAGAGAACATATACTCCGCCAATGGTTTTATTTTGCTGATCTAATATATCAACTGCCGGTTTTATATACTCCGCCAATGGTTTTATTTTCCTGATCTAATATATCAACTGCAGGTTTTCTATTTTAATATTGATTTGGTTTTATATGAATATATGATCGTATAGCATTGGTTGATCAAAAAAAAAAAAAAAGAGTAGCATTGAATAATCTAGGGTTTTTGGCTTATTAAATCCCTAACTATTTGATTTTGGCCTATTTAAGCTCATGAATTTAATTAAGCCAATTAAATACTCAACTTTTACAAAAAATCTTAATAAGTCTTGAATTGTTTAGCTTTTGGCAAAAATGAGCTTCCGTTAATTTCATTAACGGCTCTGTCACGTTTTATTTTAACACCGTTATCATCTCTTATGTTTTTTTTAAATTTAAACTTTTGCTGGTAACAAAATCATTTTTAGTGCAGTCACTTAAAAAAGAGTACAAAACGAAAGGTTTTAAGAGAGGAGACACGTTTTTTATAATTTCAAAAAGATAAGGCAACTAATATTGTGGAGTCACGATGTAGAAGAAAGAAAAAATCAAATTTCTAGATATATAGTCCTCATTGTTGATGGGGTTTGTATCTCAGTATCTAAAAATACTGACTCTGTTCTTAGCAACAACTCATAAATTTATTATAGAAAGGAACAAAATAAAAGAAAAAATTTGTTTAAAATAAAGAACAGACTTCTAAACATGTGTCTCTGAATTTTTCATATCCCAACATATCTCTTAGTAGATGCAACATAGACAATAACAGTGAAAGATAGTTTTGTTGTTTTGAAACTCTATTTCTTGCCACACAAGGCAAGATCCCTCTTGAATGGTCTGAAATTCAAGGCATAGAATTCATAGATACATAGATTAGACCGTTTAGACTTAAACACGACTTGATCCGTCGTAGTTCTGTAACCAGGTACGTTGCAAGAAAGATCCGAGGAGCTTCTTCTTCTTCCGACCAAACTAGCTTGACAAGAACTCGCGAGACTATCCACGTCAGTGCAATCTAGAGAAGTTATGGCTACCTTGTAGAGTCCGAACTCGTTAGTGGTTCTGTGCATGAGTTTCGATTCTGGATAATCTGTGCATGAGTTTCGATTCTCTTAAAACAGTATTAAGGTATTAAACATCCAACACTTAATTTAAGTTAGACTCATTTCAAGCAAAACAATCGAAGTTGACACTTGACATCATTTATTTGTTACCTACTTTAGAGTTTGTATAGTCTCTAGCTAGTCAAATATCGAAACTTCAAGTATTATAAGGTTTTTGATAAATTGATATACAATCAAATAATTCTTAAATGTCTAAGACAAACAACATGATCTTTTCTAATCTTTTCCATATGTTTAACTCGACGTTAGTTTTATTGACGGAGTATGCCATACATAGTAATGCACTTTGGATCGGAACTTTATCTTTTTATTTTTGATGGCTCCGAACAAAATGAAATCAAAATGAATCAAAGTAAAAGATACTCAAATATGCAATGAACTCGACTGATCAATAAGAAGATTCATTTCGAAAGCTTTTTGTGGACACAAAGATTTATTATCTAAACAAGTGAACGTTAGAGGTGCATCACATGTATGATATTTTGGTTACTCTTAGTCTTAGGGCCACAACTATTAATTTCTTTCATTTTGTCTATACGTTGTCAGGCCAGCTAAGACGTTACAGAATTTTTTTGGCCACATTCATATACAGAAACACTCTTATCAACACTCAGATAAATTATCATCTTCAATATTTTTTCTAATATTTTTGTATCAATATTACGGTACAAGTGAAGTCCTCATAAAATATCTGTAGTTCCATATTGTCACTTCTATTTCTTGTTATATCTCGAACATTCAAATGAACAAGAAGAATAGTAAATGAATTTAGTTAAAAAGTGATATATTTTTTTTCAAACAAAAGTGAAGTCCATTCATATAATCAACGAACAGGACCAATTATTTACACTGAACAAAAACTCAATGAGTTTTACCAATCTCACCACCATGAGGGGTGTTTATAGCAAATCAGAAATTACAAGGGAAAATCTGCAGAAACCTCAACACTGAGAGGAGCAAAACAAACAAATAAATAAAATAGATAACAGTTTCAGTTCTCCTCTGTTTCTTTCTTTCTTTCTTGATTTGTTCTGTTTCTTCAATAATACAAGACTAGACGACGATCACATGAAGAGCAAGAGTAATTGCGTTTGACCTTGAAACAAAGTGGTAAGAAACATAACAACCACTTCGTCTCGATATCCACCGCCGACACTTTTCCGCCGCAATATGGACACACACCCGGTGCTTGTTGCCGACCAAGCTCCCTCTTCTCCTCGTGATACACAAACTCCAAACACATGTTCTCTTCTTTCTTACTCCAATTATCAGAGACAGCTTCTGTGTCTATATATTGTTTATGTTCTCTTTGGTATGTTAGCTAGGAAAAATCTGGAAGCGTGAAGAACAAGAGAAGGAAAAAAACTTTGCTGTAGGGTTTAGCAGTGCAATGTCAATGAATTTATAGAGGACCTGGGGATGTAAGGAAGATTACGTGGCATACTCTCCCATACATGTATAAAATAATATATATAGACATAATATATGTATAAATAATTCATATTCCAAATAAATCTTGAGTTCTTGGAAATCATTTTGAAGGTGTATAATATGTTGATGATATAATGACAGCTTTCACAAAACATACACCATGTGTTTTTTATAACATAAATACAAATATTTAATTGATGGGGAAAAAAAATCGACCAAAAAAAAAAGATGGGGAAAAAACTTAACTCGACAAAACAAAGAAGAAGTTTAATCTCATATCAGGCTTCAAAAGAAATGAATCAACACATGAAATCATATTGAACATGAGTCCAAAATATTTGGATTCACATATTGTCTGTTGCTCAAGTACTTGGAGTCTTCGATTGTTGAATGCTAAGAGAGTAAGAGCACCTCCATCGGTTATATCAAGAGTTGATTAGAGAATAAGACACTTTGTTCTCTTTTTTAACCGAATAAAACACATCACACTTGAAGAGCACTTTCTCCTACTCTCCTCCTATATGTTTATACACATATGCTCTTTTAGTGTGGTTAAGAAAGGTAAGAGATGAGTTAGTTTTAATAGTATTATATTGTGTCTGTTTTATTCCAACGAAAAGAAAACAAGAGGTTAGTTAGATCTATTTTCCCACAATTTCTTTTTATATTATTATTCTTCCACCTTAAGTTTTTATTTGATTTTTCTCAATTTTGAGATATATAAAAAACTAAAAAATATTATAATAAATCATAATTTATTTTTCTCTGTATTTTAATATCTATTTTATATATATATATTTTGTATATTTCAAAAATTATATATAAAATTTTGTAGATATAAAAGTGTGGATGAAAAAAATGTGGACATAAAAATATATAGACATAAAAATGTGGATATGTTTAGATCTTACAATGCAATATCGTGAATTAGTTAGAAATCTCATATGAGTTTTCTTTGAAAAAAAACATGAAGATTGGAGAAGCTTGGACATAGAACATGTAAATTAGATATATGTGGAAACAAGGATTGTGGACAGTTTATCTTTGAAAAAAAACATGGAGATTGGAGAGACTATGAGTTTAATTAGAAAACTATGAGTTTTGTTTGAGAAAATAAACATGAAGATTGGAGAAGTTTGGACATATAACATGTGGATAGGATAAATGTGGACACAAGTACTGTGGACATTTGATATTTATAACATTTTCCTCTCCTGTAGTAAACACAAAAAACAAAAAAAAATCACAACAATGAAAAGTAACCTTTTTTTTTATCAATGTAGAAGAATAACAAATTCACTTTCATCGGCCACAGTAGATGATTGAAGGTAGAAGAAGGGAAGAGTGAAGATACCCAGAAAAACAAAAACTCTTCTTTTGAAGGAACAAATGGAGATACCCAGAAAAATAAAAGCTCTTCTTTCCGGATTCGTGGAAGACTGGCGGAGATTCCGGTGAGTCGTTGTCACTCACGCGCCACCAAATGAGTCACCACACCATCTCCGCTTGCAAGAAAAGGCTTGAAGACGTCTAGCTTTGGCTTCGAAGTGAGGTGTGGGGTTGATTTCAGGAGGTTAGTAAATCTAATTTTCAGATCTCAGATCTGTCCTCTATTTTTGTGTGGTTCATGTAGGTTGATGAGTTGTTTTTCTTAAGGATATGCTGTGGTGATTGCGATGACGTCGTGAAAGCAAATCTATGTTTGAATATATAATAGATATTTTTGTTTTGCTAGTTCGACAGAAAAATATATTTTGATTGAAAAAAATGATCATAGTTAGTTGTCTTTAGTTAGGTTAGTTTGGTTTGGTCAAGATTGAGGGTATAAAAGACAATAAACAGCTATAAAGTGTCTAGCAAGCATGAAGTGCCTTATTATGTAATTGATAAGACAAAATGTGTCTTAGAAGGTAAAAAATCTTATATCAAGATGGAGTTCTCATAATTAATGTATTAAAAGTAAATAAAAAAGAAAAAAAAAGAAAGAGATACGGTATCTATCTATACTATTATTTGCGATTATTTGCGAAGTGATTTTTCGCAACGGAGCTCTCACGTTAAAAGTTAGAACGGTTAATATCTATTTTACCCTTAATGAAATTTTTATATATAACTAATTTTATAATTAAAACGAAATTTAAAAAATAAAATTAGATAAGTACAGTATGTTATTATCTTAGATAATAAAGAATAATTAATATAATAAGTTTATAAAAAAACAAAAACAAGATAATTCTTATATATGTTATTATTATCTGAATATAATATTGTAATAACATGATAATGCTTATAGATCTTAATTTTATATAAAATTGATTTTCCCTTTTGAAAATAATATCATTATATCATCTATACTATTATTTGCGAAGTGATTTTTCGCAACGGAGCTCTCACGTTAAAAGTTAGAGCGGTTAATATATATTTTACCCTTAATGAAATTTTTATATATAACTAATTTTATAATTAAAAACGAAATTTAAAAAATAAAATTAGATAAGTACAGTATGTTATTATCTTAGATAATAAAGAATAATTAATATAATAAGTTTATAAAAAACAAAAACAAGATAATTCTTATATATGTTATTATTATCTGAATATAATATTGTAATAACATGATAATGCTTATAGATATTAATTTTATATAAAATTGATTTTGGCTTTTAAAAATAATATCATTATATTATAAAATTTAAAAATTAAAATATAAAATCGATTTTAATTAAATATTAATCGAACAAAAAAATTTGTATAAAGATACTTTTAATTATATAATTAAATGTTCAAGTTAATAATACCTTTAATGAAATTTATATATTTATATATCAATTAGTTAAAGTGATTTTTTGCAACGGATCTCTCACGTTAAAAGTTAGAGCGGTTAATATCTATTTTATCCTTAATGAAATTTTTAAATATAACTAATTTTATAATTAAAAACGAAATTTAAAAAATAAAATTAGATAAGTACAGTATGTTATTATCTTAGATAATAAAGAATAATTAATATAATAAGATTATAAAAAAAACAAAACAAGATAATTCTTATATATGTTATTATTATCTGAATATAATATTGTAATAACATGATAATGCTTATAGATCTTAATTTTATATAAAATTGATTTTGGCTTTTAAAAATAATATCATTATATTATAAAATTTAAAAATCAAAATATAAAATCGATTTTAATTAAATATTAATCAAACAAAAAAAATTGTATAAAGATACTTTTAATTATATAATTAAATGTTCAAGTTAATGATACCTTTAATGAAATTTATATATTTATATATAAATTAGTTAAAACCAAATTTTATGTTAGTGATATAAATTTATATGTTATTATATTAGTTAATTTATTATAAATTAATAGGAGAATTATCCACATTCATGCATATTTAAAACATAAGCTATCTTATAGAATATTATACAATTATCTGAAAATAATCTTTTTATTGTGAAAAATAAAAATGTAAGTTATGAAACAATTTAAAATTAAATATTAAGAAAAAAAATATAAATATATTTTTGATTTAGGTTTTTTAAAACTATAGAAAATAACTTATAATATTATTTTAGAATTAATAAAATAAAAAATAATAAATATTCGTAAGAAAATTATGCCCGAATATGTGCGCACAACACCTAGTGGTTGGGTATGTCTGCAGAGATGTTTTCATAATCTCTTAAGAACCTCAACATACAAATGCCACGTTTTCATTGGTTTAGTTTTTTAGAAAAAGAAAATTTCAATTGTATAACAAAACTGCACCAAAATATTAACAGAAAATTGTTGAGAACCTTTAGTGGAGTATTAGCTTTAAGAGAATGATTATATCAAAGACCCATTTAGGGGCTCTTATTTTTTTTTAATACTTTAAAGTAGTAAAAGTGAATTAAGAGACAATATTAAGAAACTTAAACATTTTTATATTTCATTGCAAGTCTCTTAATTAAAGGTTCTTTAAGAAAAAATTATCAAACATTTTAATTGCATGAATATACCAGTTTTAATTGCATGAATGTATCAGGAAACCAGATCAAACATTATCAATCTTCTCACTCAATTAGGCCCAAAAGATTCCAAAAAAGAAGAAGACTAAATTACCTTGTACGCGGAGAAGTCGTATAAAATTTGACTAAAAGCTTGAGTGTTTTGCTGTAGAAGAGCCATTACTGTGTCACTTATACCTGATACGAAGAGTACAACAAAGGTAACTAACTGATAATACTGATATTTGTTCTATTTGAGACCACAAAACACAGGAGAAGAGAACTAAACCTTCAAAAGGTATGTGTGTACTGTTGTAGTTATTGTTTATGGCATATAAAATTTTTTGCTGAGGCAGATTGGCTAGTATGTTCAGTTTTGGGGATGTATCCACCACCTTACCATATAGAAGCATGGTTTTTAAAACCAAGTTCAAACAAAAGCAAAACAAACACATATAATAGAGTTTATCCCAATGTCATAAAAATTATTATCATAACATACAAACATCCCACAACTTTAGATACTGAAATTAAAATTATTAGATAGTAAATTCGACACGGTGGACAAGCATACCTTTCTATTGCTTATGTTCTTCCCAGCATTGTTTTCCTCTCTTTTTCTCCGTTTTCGCTGTGGTAATAGATATGCACGTCTTAAGCCAACACATTTTGAGCTAAGGGTAATATAAATTGTAGTGTAATAACATGTATTTCTAGCTTTGACAACTCTTGTATAGTTATTTATTTCAGGTTATCCAAGTTCTGAATCTATGAGGCCGCATATCCAACTCATAATATAGACTTGCTTACGTATGAAAAATGGAGCAGTCCATTATTGAACAATCAACAAAAAAATGTGAGTAAACAAGTCAGTGTTGCTAAATTTGGCGTTTGAACATCACCGCTAATGGAATTCAGAGATTCCACTTCTTTGCAGGTATACCTCACAAAACGGTCAAACACAGCCAACTCTTGATTTACAATTTAACTAGAA